GAAAAAGTAAGAGTACATATGGTCTTAGTGTATTAATTCAGGTTTCCAACAGCAGAAGAAAATAGACTAGAGGATACTAGAAAACCTAGCAAATGAGATTTCAGTCTCACTTTTGACAATCTTTGACAAGTTGTGTGAAATAGGAGAACTCAATAGGAACGAAAAGACAAAAACATTCTAATTTTTAAAAAGAATGAGCTTGATTTCTAAAATGTAGACTATTAATTTCTAGAAATTTTTGAAAATTATTCTAATGTTTGCACCCAGAAAAGAAAAAAACAACACAATAGGAAATTATTAAAGTTTCTCTGTAAAAGGTCATTGCCAGATGTGCGTCCAGAGTCTGTTTGCCCTGCTCTCCACCTTGTATCCCAAGTGGCCACAGACCGCCTTTCCTCAGCTCCTGTGTCCCTGGGTTCTTCCTGGATGGCCAGTCAGAGACACTGGCAGGAGATTTGAGGATGGGAGGAAGAACGAGGCCAGGGTATGCAGGGAAAGGGTGAGGAGGCATTGGGGTAAAACAAAGGCTGCATCTCTTCCATGTTCCAGCTCTCTCCAGATAGGACCTCCTATGCTTCCATCTTCCCTGGGGACCTGGCTCCTGGACTTTAGTAGCACTCTTTCCCTCATTTGTTTCTACTTTGGCTTCCTGCTGTTGCTAATCCCTGGCTTGCCTCATTCGTGTTTGAGTGTCCCAGTACTTCATGACTTGCATAACCTATTCCCTGCATTAAATTCCCTCTGTTAGTTACGCTTTGTTTGCTTTGTTTGTCTAACTGTTTGCCCAGTTAGACCCTGACTGGTACATAAGCCAACCTCATTTTCTATTTGGTATGGTTATGGTTGGTTGTAAAATAGGCTAACAGAATGCTATTGGCGTCCTGTATCGAGATTTTAGTAAGACTTTTGACAGATAATCTTATGATGTCCTTGCGAACAAAATGAGAGGGATTTAGGCTGGATTATAAAACATTCTTAGATTGCTGAAGTTTATTAATCTTCCAATCAATCTGATGAAAGGGCTCCAGAAGTTTACCAAAAGGCTCTGTCCTTGGCCATGTCCTACTCAACATTATGACCAAAGATTTGGACAAAGATATAAAAAGCACCTTTATCAAATGTGTATATAACATGAAGGTGAAAGATAATTTAATTCAAATTTTTGAAAGGGTTAACTTTATAAGGAAAAATGGAAAGTCTTATATCTAGGTACAAAAAGTACATAAATCATAAAAATATGCAATTGGAGAGACCAGGCTTCCCTGTAAAAGATACCTAGCATCCCTATCAGCCGACAAACAGTTCCACTTCTCATCTAGTATTAATATATTACATGAAGGCTAGGAACAAAATCTAAGAAAGATATTGTTAAGTTGAAGTATCCCATTTCTCCAAGACTTGTTAAAGCTTTATAGCATTTACAAGGGTTATAAATGATATACACATCTGTTTATACACATTTGTTCACTTTTGCCACACAACTGCCCTAGTACAGAATGTACTGTTACTCCATTTCTCAGCCTCTGTTTCCTCATTTGGGTTCAAGTCTAAGTTATATAGCACATTGTGGCTTTAGGCAAGCTAGGGTGCTTGGTCATGATCCCAGTTCCTTTCAATAAGGCCCATTCTCACTTCAGGACACCTTGCTGCATCTGGATAAGAGGGACCCAACTTTTGAAAGGTTGGAAGCCTTTATGTGTGATGAGCTATTAAGGGAGCTGAGGAGAGACTTATTGGAACATAAAGTTTATATCTTCAAGGATCTGAAAGTCTGTCACATGAGAAAGAGTGAATTAATTTATGTGGCTTCAAAGAACAGAATTAAGACTAATAGAATGATCAGTGTTGGCTCAATATTTAAAAAATTCAAATAGAACAGCCCTCTAATAGAGGAATATGCTCGCTATCTTTGCACAAAAGTTGGGTAACTCACTCTCAGGAATACTGTAGTACAATGAATTCCTGCATTGGGAAGAAGGTTAAATTAAATAACCACTAGAGCAGTGGTCTCCAGCCTTTTGGCACCAGGGACCAGTTTCATGGAAGACAGTAAATACAGATGAAGCTTCAGTTGCTCACCCACCGCTCACCTCTTGCTGTTCACCCTGGATTGAGGTGGCAGGGAGTGCCGAGTCCCTGGTCCCTAACAGGCTGTGGACCACTACCCATCCTCGGTGGCCGGGGGTTTGGCCATAACTCTAGAGTGACACCCAACTCTGATGAGAGTCTGATTTGGTTTTTGGTTAGTGGGTAAATTAGTGATGTGCAGTTTTTAATTGAGAATTATGTTTTACTTTTACAGTTTCACTCCCAGCAATATAATTGTTTTTGTTATAATTTAGGATTAACATACTCTGTGAAAAAAAAACTTTTTTAAGAGCCTGAAACAAGGAAATAAAGCATGACTAGTGTTCGGTGTAATTACCTACACAAAAAATATTATGCTATTTCCCAGAATATGTCCCTAGAGTGAATGTCTGCATTTGTTCCATTTCATTCCTAGCTGTAGAATCCTATTGTGGTGATGAGGAGAATCATTTTGAAATATATTGAAGCAGAGAATAGAGTGTGCAAAATATTATTAGGTTTGCTAAGATGAACCTGTGTAAATGCAAACTGTCGGCATGCCACTACAAAAACCAGCCCCTATATAGTAAAAGGTCCCTGAAGTGACCTATTAAAGGCCACTACAGTGATAGTGATTGAAATATCTTAAAATTTACTTTGAGAATGCCTTTCTAGCCTTCTTTCTAGAACTAGTGTAGTTTCTGCCTTCACATGGAATAGTTATTCATGAAGGGCTAGAATAATTGAGAAAGGAAAATAAAAATTATTTCAAAATTGATACCAAAAAAACCCCAAAACATTACATTCTCCCATAAGAGTAAAACATGCAGGGAAGATTAAGTGTGCCAATGTTTCAAAATTAAGATAGTATTTTGCTTTGAGCTTATTTCTGGTTATGTTTAATAAAGGGAAGTTCTCTGTCTTTGTAGCCACTTGCTGAAATGTAAAAATTTACTTACCTGAGTTCCTGAAAAAGACAGCTGCATTGTGAATCCTCATTTCGTATCTTCCCTGTGAGAGCTCTGAAGGGCTGGGTGCTCTTATCATGTTCATTTTTTTAAAATTGCAGAGGCAGTGTCTGCCTCCCCCTCACCCTTCTTGAGTTTCTTCCTAGACTTATTAATCGTAACATAATTCTAACAGAAAAATTTGTGATACATTGTAAATACTAAAAAAAAAAATTGAGGCAAAAGAGCATCTGATATTTAATTCAATGTATTATCCATTTAAAAAATTAATCTTGCAGATGTTGATTATCTCTGACAACATGCCATTTAATAAGATGTTGACTTTAAAAAAAGAAAAAAAACAGATGTTTCCTATTCATGCTTGATTTTGTACTGACTCAGCAAGCCCCTACCAGTCTTTCCCCTCTAAGTTGCTAGTAAAAGCAGATGAAATAAGTTATGGCTAAGACTTCTGGTGCTGCCCTTGACTAAGTCAGCATCATCAGGCTCTTGATAAATCCCTCAAGTTCCTGACCTTACTGATTTTTGTATCTTTAGTATCCTCCATGGGGGCTGGCATTTGGGAGCCTTGCAAGTTATATGTTTATGAATGAAAACTTCAGGCATTGAAAAAAATATTTTGCAAAAGGCTGCAATATCCCTTTCTAAAAACAATAGCTCTATATTAAAGTTTCAGGGTATCTGGGAGCCAGGGAGGAAGATGGCAGTTTTCCCCTTTAATATTCTATATGTGAAATTTGGGAAGTTTTGGTGAAGAAATTAAAAACTTAACCAAATTGAGACCACATGTGTTTTGGTATTCAGAATTTTTTAGGTTTTAGAAAAATGCAGTAGATGTATCTTACACTATGTAATTTCCCTAGTGCATATTCAAATGTATGAATATTTTGATAACAAAAACATGTGAATAGTCAACAGTAACTGAAATAAACCTTTTTAAGAAGTTAAAACAGTTTCAGGTTTATTCAGGTTAGAATTTGCAGCCAAGTAAGTTCAGACCAGATAAAATTTGCCACCAAATGACTTAAGAAAACAAAAATAAAAACAAAACTTTGTTCTTGGAGTTTTTTTTGGTTTTGGAATTGTCTGTCAGCATTTGTGGACCTATAATGTTTTTTTAATTAATCCAAACCTTCTTTAGTTGTTTGATGAATCATCATATCATCTCTACTTTTAAGTGGATAGGTAGAAATTTTTATTTTCCTCATTTCCCCTGGAAAAAAGACATGGCAGACATCTGAACAGAGTTTTGGGATTACTAGCAAAGTACAAGTTGAGCATCCATAATCCACAAATCCAGTTGTGCTCAAAAATCTGAAACTTTCTGTGCATCATCAAGATGCTCAAAGGAAATGCTCATTGAAGCATTTGGATTTCAGATTTTTGCTTTAGGGTTGCTCAACCAGTAAGTATATAATGTACATGTTCCAAAATCCAGAACAACTCTAAAATTTGAAACACTTCAGAGTCCCAAACATTTTGGATAAGGGATACACAAGTTATACTACCATAAGTATGTCAGCCCACTTAGACTTTGCAAAATCCTCTGAGAGGATTGTTTACATTTTACAGGAACCATAGAGGAGTAAGGAGTGATGTGACTCCTTCTGGGTCATAAAGTGAAAAAACAATAAAACTAGGACTCAGACTTGGGACTTTCAACTCTAGATCCTACCTTCCTTCTGCTAGATCTTGTTTCCATCAGAAAAGCTTCTAATGAAGCTGGAAAATGATAGTTCCGACATATGTTTGATTAGAGTTAAATGACTATACCACAGTACCTGCAGGCTTCTATCAATTTGAATCACTTAAGTTAGTTTGGCAGAAGTGGGCTGATTATTGTAAAGTTTAAAGTTTGTTTTGATTTTTGTTTAAAAGGGATAAATGGAATAAAACACTTTAATTTTGAACATGGAATAAAAAGGACTTTTTTGGTGTTCTCCCATTTTTGTTTCAATTGTTTAGATGTGCCTGGCATCCGAGGGGGTGAAAATGGAAGAATCAAAGCTAATAAAAGCAAAAGAATCAGATGGTGGACGAATTAAAGAATTAGAGAAGGGAAAGGAAGAAAGAGAAATAAAAATGGAGAAAACAGATGAAGTCAGGTTACAGAAGGAAGCAGAATTTGAAAAATCAGCTAAGGAAAATATAAGAGATTCTAAGGAATTAAGAAATTTTGATGAGCTACAAATGGATGATATAATGGCTATAAAAATGGAAGATCCCAAAGAAATTAGAAAGGAAGAATTAGAAGATCAAAAATGTAGTCACTTCCCTGATTTTTCATACTCTGCCAGTAGCAAGATAATAATAAGTGATGTTCCCAGTAGAAAGGATCACATGTGCCATCCTCATGGAATTATGATCATTGAGGATCCCACAGCATTAAACAAACCAGAAAAACTAAAGAAGAAAAAGAAGAAAAGCAAAATGGATCGACATGGAAATGATAAATCCATACCCAAGAAGACTTGCAAAAAGAGGCAGTCTTCAGAGTCTGACATTGAGAGTGTCATATACACCATTGAAGCTGTTGCAAAAGGAGACTGGGGCATTGAGAAACTTGGAGAAACCCCTCGCAAGAAGGTCCGCACGTCCTCAAGTGGCAAGGGAAGCATTTTGGATGCCAAGCCACCAAAGAAAAAAGTGAAATCAAGAGAGAAGAAAATGTCAAAGGAGAAATCCTCAGACGCCACCAAAGAGTCAAGACCTCCAGATTTCATTAGTATTTCTGCCAGCAAGAACATTTCTGGTGAGGTGCCAGAGGGTATAAAAGCAGAACTGTTGTCCCCCACAGAGGATGCACTACCACCCAGCCTATCGGGACAGACCAAGCCTGAAGACAGTGACTGTCATAGAAAGATAGAGACTTGTGGCTCCAGGAAATCCGAGAGGTCTTGCAAAGGTGCTCTTTATAAAACCCTGGTGTCTGAGGGCATGCTCACCTCTCTGCGAGCCAACGTTGACAGAGGTGAGTGACTTCTACAAACCTGAAAAGAATATGAAAACAGCAGAATTTCTCCTTTAGACTTGTTGAAAACAACTGCCCATAAAGAACAATATGGTGTCAAAATAATACCTAACACATGCAGTTCTTTGTGGTTTATAGATTATAGTAACCATTTGTCATTTTACCTACATGTTTTCTAGCACCATTAAGGAGAGTTTGTATTCATTTTGTAGGTAGTTCTCAAGATAGAAGTATTTAAAGTAATTTAAACCTTTCTTTCCCCCATTGCTATGGGCTACTTTTTGTTTTGAAGGATCAGTATTGAATGTTTAGAACTTTTGATTTGTTTTTTAAAACCGATGCAATTTCCAGAATCAAGCAGGTGTGTTTGTCAGGATCTTGATGTATCAGCTTTAGAAGCAAATGCTTTATCTAGGCCTCTCCAGTAGGTAATCAAAACTATAATTGCAGTGAAAATTAAAACATAACAATATCCAGAAACCAGTTAATGTATACACCTTTATTCCAGAGTATTTCATATAAATTCATATGTTTTAAAATATAGCATCTAGCTAGAGGAATACCTCTTCCTAAGCTATATTACTACAAGAGATATGTGAGACCTAGTTCTGACAAGTCCTAAACCAAGATAGTTGGGAGTACATAGTTCTCTAAGGATGTCATTCCAGTGAATCTTAGGGAAATTAGAATTAATAATGTCTACCAGCCATGCCACCTGTACCTTAGGCTGGTTCTCAAATGGAAAAGCTAGTAGTAGTTAATCTGTCTCTTGAGTCTTGTGATACCTGTTGAATTATGACAAGAGAGCTTATCTTAGAGACTATAAGTCATTTTTTGCATGTTCCATTGTTAAAGGTGGTCCAGCATAAATCATTCTGAGGACTCTAAACAGTTGCAAATAGAATAGCATCATACAAATGATATGTAAGGAGTCAAGAGGTTGCTTATTAAGCAACTAAGATGATACATCCCCCAACCCCTAGCATATACCGAGCACATCCTTTCTCTTGAATTTTCTTAGGAAAACGAAGCTCAGGAAAAGGAAACTCCTCTGATCATGAAGGGTGTTGGAGTGAAGAAAGCTGGACATTTAACCAGAGTGGGACCAGTGGAAGCAAGAAGTTCAAGAAAACGAAGCCAAAGGAAGACTCTCTCCTTGGGTAAGTTCCCGTGAGCAGTCAGCTGTACTGCACAGACCAAGTGTGGGTAGGATTGTCAAGGTGCACATAAATCACTACGTAGGCTTACTCTTTGACTATTCATTCAGCACTTGCTATAGCCTTAGCAAGCCTTAGCAAGCACTCTAGTAAACACAAATCAGGTGGTGTATGACATGATTCCTGCTGTTAACACAGTCGTGTGAGTGACAGTATCATTCACATTTGAGGTATAATAGAAAATAGTAGATTTTAGACTTAGGTGTAGGTTTGAATCAATGTCCATCATGTAATAGTGTTGCGACATTGTAAATCCTTTAATATTACCAGGATGCGTTTCCTATCTGAAGCTTAGAATGGATATTATTAGTTTGTTTATATTTTGCTCATTGTATGTGCTTTTTGTACTTAATATTTCTAAATGTATGTACATATGTTTAGAAAATAATATGACAGCTGAAATATGTGAGATAAATAAAATTATGCTTAGGCTAGCCTTGTCTTTTTATAAACTGTGTTCTGTTGCTCTAAGATAAAAATATTAGGCTGAATAATCTGGTACCATAGAATATTCAATATATTAATTATATATTGAAATGCAGAACTAAAGAATGGCATTCATCAAGATAAAAATTGTTAAGAATTATTTTATATTTAGTGTTATGCCAAAGTCTCTTAATAACAATCTTAATATAAAACATTTTGTTATTAAGTTCAGAGAGCCAATACTTTATATTGGTGAGGAAAGTATCTGCATATTCCATTAGGCTGTTTTAAAAATCCTTTGAGAATTCTCATTGGCCCAATTTGAAAAGAATCTATTGAATGGAAATCAGTACATTTTAATATTCTCCATATTTCTTCATGAGTGTGTTTAAAGGTATGCAGATTTTATGCATTGGGTATATTGTATTTGGTTTATTAATAATACTTGCATTTCTGTATTTTTCCTTGGAAGTTACAGTGCTTTTAAAGTCTGGCTAATTCTAAGACTCTCAGTCATTATAAAGAGGAAGGGTAGAAATTATTTTCCATAGTGCTGACTCCTCAAGATTATTTATATTGAAATGATATATTTATAATTTTACATATTTTATTTCTAATATTTTTAAAAGTACAGAGTACTTCAAATTAGTTTTTCTTACATTATGCTTATGTAATGACATGAAAATCCTCACATTTGTCATTTTCAAATGATAATTTCAAACATAGAGTATCCTAAAAGAATGACCCTCAAGCATCTAGACCAATGCTATATGTTTTCTAGAACTGCCAGTGCCTTGTGGGTCTACATGCCACACAGTGATCAGGTCTTGATATAGACAAGTGAAGTCCTAGGGGGGAGTAAAGCAAGCATTAAGGTTCCCCCACAGAAATTCCTGTGATGCTTACATCAGAAACTGCTGATGCTGTGAGAGAGAGATTTTTTACCAGTCTTCTTTAAGGAACAAGATACGTGAAACAATCTTTTGAAAATCTGTCCCTGAAAAAAAAATTGGTGTGTGGATTGCGTATATTTGTTTTCTAGTCATATCTGAAGAAGCTACATGTGTCTAACTGGAAGCATGATTTTTCACAGGTTTAAATCAAAGGTAAACTTCAGTGGCTTTTTCTCCTTTCCCTTTAAATATTGGCCTTTCAGGATCTGACTATTTGGGTTTGCCTTGTTTAGAACATGCCAGTAGAGTGCTCACTCAGGGAGAAATGCCAGGTCCTGTCAGTCTTCTCTGAGATTGGTAGATGAGCGTTTTAAACCTTTTATCACAGGAAATGTGCTACCTGTTAAAAGTGTAGCCAAGAAAAATTCGCTCAGTATTGGCAGTTCTAATTTCATAGACTTCTCCAAAGTTCTCATTTAAAAGAAAGTCTCAAGAGACCCTGTGAATTACATCTCACATTTTCAGTTTTCTTTTGGTTATTCAGAGTATCTGAAAAATTTACAACTTATAGACAGCTTTCTGATAGTATCTAATTAGTATCAGATAGCATCTGATTTTCTATCAGTATAAACATTATTTTAACTGAATAAAAAAAGATGATTTTATTAAGGGAGAAGCATCACTCCCACTCATTACCCTCCACTGCTTTGAGAACTTAGTACAGTAGTCCTCCCCTATCCATGGTTTCCCTTTCTATGGTTTCAGTCCAAAACTGTTAACTGGAAAATTCCAGAAATAAACAATTCTTATGTTTTAAATTGTGTGCCATTCTGAGTAGCATGATAAAATCACATGCTGTCTGCTCCATCCTACCCAGAACATAAATCATCCTTTTGTCCAGCATATCCACACTGCACAGTATGTATGCATAGGAAAAAAACATAGTATATACAGGGTTTGGTACTATCCTCATTTTCAGGCATCCACTGGGGATCTTGGGATGCATTCCTCTCAGATAAGCAGGAACTACTGTAATGGCCATTTTCTTTTGACCATTCTAATGGTCATATATCTTATCTCTGCTTTCCAACTCTTCGTACATTCCTCCAAAACTGAGAACGGTTTAGTTACAAACCATCTGTAGTAGTATATCTCTTAGTTTGCAGCCTAACATATTATTTAATAGCTTCTTGTAAGTTGACACTAAAGTTGCTCTCCTTTCCAATACACCTTCCATTTTCCATCTACCAATCACAGCAGCCAGGCGTGGTGGTTCATGCCTATAATCCTAGCATTCTGGGAGGCTGAGGCGGGCGGATCGTTTGAGCTCAGGAGTTTGAGACCAGCCTGAGCAAGAGTGAGACCCCGTCTCTACTAAAAATAGAAAGAAATTAGCTGGACAACTAAAAATATATAGAAAAATTTAGCCGGGCATGATGGCACAAGCCTGTAGTCCCAGATACTCAGGAGGCTGAGGCAGGAGGATTGCTTGAGCCCAGGAGTTTGAGGTTGCTGTGAGCTAGGCTGACGCCACGGCACTCTAGCCCAGGCAACAGAGTAAGACTCTGACTCAAAAAAAAAAAAAAAGTACCAAACACAGCAGTTCTCCTGCAGCCTATCCTATCTGGGTTGCATCTTAGTTAATTAAGTCTCACCAGATGAAAGCTAGCAGCCAGCCTAGAATCCAGCAGCCATGCTGCCATTGTTGTTGGGGGCCTTAGAGACATCAAAACCAGCCCAAGGATTTCCCAACTTTGCTGGTACCATTTCTAAAGCAATTTGTGGTTTAAGTTAAAGCAGTGCTGCCTCTCTACCAGTGTGTTCCTTGAAAGCTGGCTTGCTGCTTTGCTCGTTGAGTATTTTATCCTCATCCTAGTCAACTCCCCAGGATGTCTTTCTAATATTCAAAATTTGTTTGCTTTTTGTTTGGTTGTGTATGTTTTAATCAAACACTAATCAGTAAGTATTTTTTAAAGAAACTAATCTTATAAAACTACCAATATATCATATTACCAATAAGCTAGCCAATGTGTATACATGTGTATAAGTCTTTAAAATGAGAAACTATATGAATAGAGTATGCTTTATACCAAACTTTATGAAAAACTCCCATGCTGATGGAAAGAATGGCAAACTCCCCACTTCAAAAATACTCTAATATTTTAAAAGGTTCTACTGTTCTAAGGTAATAACATAACCTGTCATGTGAATTTGCTAAGAAAACTGTTGATTAATCTTCTCAAGCATTTCTGAAAAGGTGTTATTTTCCTTTCTCAGAATTTACTTAAAGTGTCCTAATTTCCAGAGACCCTGTTTTCAGATGGAGTATCTTAAAATATATCTCATTTTCTGTTCAAGTATTTTAGTCATGTGCTTATTGATTCACCTCTCCCTTTTCAATAGCTCTGCAAAGCTGGATGAAGAATTCGAAAAAAAATTCAACAGCCTTCCTCAATATAGCCCTGTTACATTTGACAGGAAATGTGTACCTGTCCCAAGAAAAAAGAAGAAGACTGGAAACACATCCTCAGAACCGACTAAAACCAGCAAAGGTTAGATGTGACCTGTACCTTCCTGCAGTGTGGTTAGAATCTCAACCGACCTTCCTGCTAAGCTTCGGTAGCTCCCTTCAGATATGTAATTGCATTTAGAATTGAGGCAATAGGGAGTTAGAATTTCAGGTTGCTTTCCAAGATTATTTTGGTCCTTGCCTCCCTTCTCTCTCCCTTCTTTCCTTTCTAATTCTCCTGAGCCTCTGTCCTTTGGCATTTCAGTTTGTATATTTGCCCTTAAAGGTGTAGCCAAGCCTTTAAAAAATTGTTACACATGATCTTCAACCTGCTCTCCAGAATTCTAATTTGAAATGTTAAGCTTTTCTTGAGCAGAAACTGCTGGCTGAGTCTAGTTTTTCTGTTCCCTGTGTCTGCAACAGGTTTAAACTCTGCGACTGTGAAATCCTTCTATTCACCTGATAAGCAGATGCTATTCTTTACTGATAATATGGACCAAATGAAAATAAAACTACCTGCAATACTCTGGCAATATAATTTTTTATTGATTTTTGTTAAATTTAGAAATATGCTTTGTGTAGCATATATTTTCTTTTAAAAAATATCAACTTCTCCCCTGTCTATATCAGGGAAGCTTTTTAAAGTATCAGCATGACTTGGTTGGATCTCAGCATTCATCAAGGGCAACACAGTAGTCCATAGGGATTTTTTAAAGAGTATGGGGGCGTATTCAGTGGTCTCAACACCTGGGATCCTGTGGATGTTTGTGGGGCAGGGGCTGGAATGCTAAATATCCTGCACTGCTCAGGACATGAAAGCACAATGGAAGATTATTCTGCCCAAGATGACATTGTTACTCTTAATGAGAAACTTTTACAGTTTTATGTGAGGTCCTAAAGATGGTGGGAAAAATGTGCCTCTAATTTTCCACACAGATGTGAGACTTCATTCCATTAGCTCTCCTATAAGGACAGGAAATGAAGAAGTGAAGAACGGGTATGGCCAAGCTGTAGTTGCTTTCAGGATCAAATTCTGAGCAGGACATGCTGAAAGAGTTCATGTAATTATCCTGCAAAAGTGGCTGCCTGTTGCCTGCTTTATGTCAAATCAGATTAATTCCCTTCTTTTGTATATTTTAGATAGATCAAATGTAAATATTAATGAGGAGATACAATTTCATGCGTTTTGAGGGAATACTTAAGGTATATGGACCAGGGAAAATTATGGTTTCTTCTCTGAAGAAATCTAAACTTTTCTCCCTCAAAACCTAAACCTTTTTGCACATGTGAATTAACATAACCAAAGAGGGATTTAAAATCTGTATCTCAAGACAGAACTGAAAGGTTGAAGAAAATTCCCCTTTGTGCTTAAAGGCAGGGAGGTACATAAAAGTCATTTTAGAATTAGCTCAGTTTTCCTCTGTGGTTAATAAAAACAAATCTAGTGAATAAAGAACTAAAAAAGAAATATTGTTGCATCACCAGGTTTACTCATCTGGGAAAATAAAATAGGATGGTATCGAGATCTTCTAAGATAGGTAGGAAAGAAATAAAGTAGACTCATTGACAGATAGGTAGCTGAGCACCATAATGGATTACCAAATGAAATGACAGTCTTTGTGCCCTGGAGAGATTTAGGAATAGGAAAAGTAGTCCGTGAGCCAAAAGATGCCAGGTATCCTGAGTTCCCATAATTCTTGGATTTAAAGTTGCTGATAAATACCTGACAAGCCAATAAAATGGGACTAAACTGATTGATGTGCAGGAGGGTTTCTTCTTCCACTCCATATAGTTCGAAACATTCACGTTAGAGTTCTGAAGTTGGCCGAATTATCTCTCGGGGAATGTAACAATAGATTTATTTTTGTAAAGCTGTAAAACCCTGAAGTTAGGATCTATTTTCATGAGACCTTCTCTTGGGTCTTAGTTGTCTATTACATGATTTTCCTCTCCCAGCTGAGATTAGCAGTATTTCTTTTGGTGAAATAGCTTTTTGGAGCTTTGGATTATACTTCATACAGTATCATCTTAGCTCTTCTATTATGCCTCTCAAGCCACAAAGTCACTGGTTCTTATATAGTATATCAATAATTACATAATACATGGGAAGTGTACCAAGACTTTAGATTTTGCTCTACTTTCCAACTCATGGAACAAAATGCAATTAAAATAAAGCAGAAATTAAATAATATATTCTCTATTTAGTAAACTAAAGAAGTATTTGTGACTGATTGTAATTTGGCATTAGCAGCACCAATATACTAGATTACAAATTATTATTAATGAAATTATCATACCAGCTGTGCTGTAATTGCCTGATCTTTTGGGGATAGAGATTGTTTCCTTAGACTTTAGAACCTTTGCACCTTTGCATAATGAATCATTCCAAGCAAACATTGTGTATGAGATCATTAGGTAATTAGTAAAAGAGCATATGTCCATCAGAAATCTCATTTTTCCTAAACAATTTGCCATTTGTCTATATTTTGTTTTCTCCTATATTTGTCAACATTCATTATATTTTTTTTCCTAACTTATATTAGGTACCATTTTAGGTACTTCAGGTTATATAAAATATATAGAATGTTTCCAAAATGTAATTTCTAGAAGTAATGGTTATATATGCATTTAGACAGTTATATGTCTCAGAGCCATAATATCTGCTTAGATTTATTTCTCTATTTTCCCATCTTCATGTCTGTATTTTCAAGTAGTCTCTTCCCCCTTCCCATCATCCCCCAACTCTCCAGTCCCTTACGTCTGTGTAATGGTCTTGTCAAAAACTCTACAATGAGAAGGGATGAAAATAACTTTAAATGCCACTTTCCTCCAACTGGGCTTGGACTGTGTTGTAGTAGAACAGAGCATGATGATTAGGAATAGAATTTTTCCTTTGCTTCTAAGAATAAATTATCCAGTAAATTATAATTCATCTAACTCACAATGCAGTTAAGCTGAATCAGCCCAATCTTACAGTGTTTTCTGGGTTATCTCTCACAGTTATTTGCGTATATTTTTAAATGAAAGCTTTAAATTATGTTTAAATTTAATTGTAACTTTTTAAGAGATTTGTCTTATACACTATTTTAAGTATACTGCTAATGTAGGAGTATTGTTTACAAAGTATCAGAAGTCTGAGGTTCCTGCAGAATAGTAATTTTCAAATGGAAGTAGGGTCATGGAAAAAAGTGAATTGAGTTCAATTTAAAGTGTTTAAACTATGGCCCATCTTGATTCTGAACTTCACTTCTCCTCCTTTATCCGTTCTATCTTTACATAGTTCCTTGGCCCACTATCAAACATATTGTTGGTCCTTCTCATTTTTTTTTTCCAATCTACACTTCTATTTTAAGATTAAATTAAAAATGGCTAAGGATTTGAGGTGTTCTTTAAAATCATAGTGGTGATAAAAGAAGCACATTTACAAAATTAAAGGTCAAAGTCAGACTCCCTCGTTTGGTATTGAGCCAACCTGATGTTAATTTCAAATTTAGAGAATTGAGATCCTGTTAGCTTCCACGTTGGGCAGAACTCTGTATTTCGCTTGTAACTGTTTGAGGGTCTTCACTGCTACCAAACTTTCTCAGGAACATGGTGGCAGCATGTTTGTAGCTATAAAAGGTGTACCTGTTATAATCTTGAGTTCTTTAACAAAGCATGCATGTCCAGCCCAATGAGTTGGCTCCTCCTTTTCAATAAATCTGAACTTGAATGTGGCTTATTGATTCAGGGAACTTAATTCAAGTTGGTAGATCCACATGCCCAGCAGCTGGGAGCACATTGTTGTAAACTATTGCAAAGGAATTTATTGTTTCATTGGTTACTGTGTATCTAATACAAAAATGGCAGCCTAGTTTTAGGAAAAAAAAAAACCCACCCCCACTCCTTTTATAGGTTAAAACATGAAACTGTAAACCTGGGCAAAAGCTACCACCACTGGAATTATGCCTGACATTTGTTTCTGACAACAGTTCTAAAGAGCAGGTTTCACTTAATTCACCTTTCTCACTGACCTTGAAAAAGTATCATACCAGGCTGACGCAGAAATGGCTTCTGTGTCACCACAGCTTCTCAACCCCAAAATGTTCATTTTTCAGCAAACCTTGAACAACAATAATGTTTTGGAAAGGTTATTGTTCATGGCTCTCTGGCACCCCTCTTATTCTCTTGGCTTCTGGTTTGGCCTGAGTATTTTCTACCCAGCTGTGAAGATGGGGTACAAAGGAGATCAATACCTTCAGAATATAGGCCATGTGCCCAACAACTTAAATGGAGACCTAAGCATACCAGCAATTAGTGATTTTTGTCATAAGGAAGCTGATGCAGCTATCCTCTCAAGATATTTAATAGGGAAAGAGATGAGAAGGAAGCTTGAGGTAGTAACAGAGTGAAGGACGAGTGCCTATTCTTGGTTTTCTGAATGTTTCCTTCTAAGACTCCTTTCTCTGCTTTTCACTTTCTATCCTTTTTTCTCCTCCATGGACACTTCTCTGTTACTACAACAATTATCTAAAGAAAAGATAGTAGCAGATTTCCTTATATTTGCTTTTATTATAAATTTTGACTTTATTTTCTTTAGACAAAATATCCAACATATGTGCCATGCTGGTGAGCAGAAATCAAATTGCTCACTTCTTGAGTCTCCAATTGCTGCTTTTCAGTGACTGCAATTAGATCTTATCTATTTCTTTTTTCAAATTTGTCACTTCTTTTTTTATCTGAAGTTGTCATTTACTTAGAGTAGTTTTATAGGTACAGTTTTGAGGGTGTCTAGGGGCAAGGAATTTTAAAAGTATAAGTTTACAGAAGCTCTTATATATACAAAACCCACTATGAATGTTCTTTTTTTAATGTTAAAATTTACAAGCTCTATCTTTAGCTTTGTCTTTAAATTGTACTTTTTAGATTTCTCTGAGTATGATTGAGTCTGAAAAGATTTATCCTTTTCTTCTTTCCTAACCCATTCTATATATCAAATCTGTTTGCTTCTGTGAACCTTTTCTTTATATACTTCTCCCAATGAGCCAATACCTTATATTATTA